TCCCAGCTTCTCGTCCCTTCCCTCCTCCCCCCCCCTCCCTGCCCGACCTCGTCATCCCTCCTCCGACCACCCGTGCTCGATTCTCGACCGTCGACCGCTTCCCCCTCGCGGGGCGATCCAAGGGGGGAGCGCACCATTCTTTGGGGGGGGCGCGTGACGGGGGGCGATCAATGGACTCGATGCTCGTTTTGGGGGGCCGTCCTGGGGCCTGCCTAACGCACCTGTTCGACTCCAGTTCGGCTCAAGTTCGAGTCAGGTTCGACTCAGGTTCGACTCAGATTTGACTCAAGTTCGCGCCGCCAAGGAAAGGTACCGATACCGCTGCCCTTGCCTCGTTTCCGCATTTCTGAGGCCTCCTGGGGGGCCCTCGTCGCCACCGTTGGATTCGCATCGAAATCCTGTTCAGAACGCACCCCAGGAGAGGTCCGGGAGGTAGCGGTATGGGAACCTTGCGGTTGCCCCAAGATGGGATCGGAGTAGACGGGGTCGGAGGATCGCGCCGCATCACCGATGTATCGGCGATGCGGCTCGATGTTGAGCCCGATTTTCTGCAGGACGACGGCGCCGATGCATCGCAGGCGTCGCCGATGCACCGTCGATGCGCGGCGCGATCCTCCGACCCCGTCTACTCGGGCCCCACCTGGGAGGCTTCTAAGAAAAAATCGCGAGAGGGTCCAAAATCGCAGGAAAGGGATCCCAAATGTGCCCTACATGGCCCCGAAGCTGTCACTGCGGGCCCCCTCACAGCAAAACGTTGATGGGAAGGGGCGCGAGTCGTCACTCCCCATTGATCCCCCGTGAACAGCCCGCCAGCCGGGACGCCTTCCTGCGCGATGCTTGCTTGCAGCTCGACGTTTCCCCAGAGGAGGCAGGCCAGTATTCCTGAAGTCGCGCGGCCAACGCTGGATCCTCCAAGGGAATGGGCCTACGCCTCGAAGTGTTTATTGCTCCCAGCCACGCAGGGGTGCCATATCACTTTCAGCCTCCGCAGGGCATGCTCGGCTCCTCTCTGCCTCTTCGCCCAAAGGAGCTTGCATCATCGTTCGTATGGTTGGCTGTCTCCACCAGTGTCCGTTGCCCAGGTCCGAAGTGAGCCTTGGAAACTGCGGAGGCAGGAGGTTGAGTGGGAGAACAGGAGTAGGAGGAGGAGAACGGAGGATGCAGCAGGAGAAGGGAGGAGGAGGAGGCGCACGGCAGAAGCGGTAGGGAAGAGAGGAATGATAATAATAAAGATAATAATAATAGTACGAATTGAAATACTACTAAAGTAATACACGTACGACTACTAATACTGATATTGCTACTAGTAATGCTAATAACGATGATAATGTTGATGCTGATGATGACGATGATGACGATGATGCTGATGGCGATGCTGATTATGAAGATGCTGCTGATCATGATGAAGATGATGATTGCGATGACGATACTGATGCTGATTATGATGATTATGAGGGTGATCATGGTGCTGATGATGATGCTGATGATGATGCTGTCGACGCTTTCGATGACAATACTGACGATGGTGACGACAATAGTGATGATGCTGATTATGATGATGATTATGATGGTGATGCTGATGGTGATGGTGATGATGATAGTGATGATTGTTTCGGTGCTGATGGTGATGCTCATGCTTATGATGATGGTGTTCATGATGATATTGAAGATGATGGTGTTGATGATGCTGCTGACACTGATGATGCTGATGCTGATGATAATGGTGATGGTGATGATGCTGATGACCATGATGATCATGATGCTGATGATGTTGATCATTCTGATGATGACAATGCTGGTGATGATGATGATGATGACGATGCTGATGCTGCTGATGATGCTGATGATGATGCTGATGAGGGTGATGATGATGACGATGATGATAATGCTGATGATGATGACCAAAGCGATCATGATGCCGATGATGCCGATGCTGGTGATGACGATGATGCTGCTGATGATGATGCTGATGCTAATTAATTAGAATGAGGATGATGATGCAGCTGATGATGATGCTTCTGCTGTTGCGGATGATGATGAAGCTCATGAGGTTGATGATGATGTTGATGATGATGATGAGGATGACGATGACGATGAGGATCAGGATCAGGATGAGGATGAGGATGAGGATGATGATGATGATGATGATGATGATGATGATGATGATGCTGATGCTGATGCTGATGCTGATGATGATGATGATGATGATGAGGAGGAGGAGGAGGAGGAGGAAGAGGAGGAGGAGGAGGAGGAGGAGGACAAGCGAGAACCAGGAGTGCGAAGAGCAAGAAGGCAGGAGGCAGGGGCCGACGGGACGAGAGAGGGGCCAGGAGGAGGCCAGCGTGAGCAGAGCAGGGAGTTGGGTCGGAGGTGGAGGCCAACGGAGGCAAAGCATAGAGCAGGGTAGGAGGAGGAGGAGGACGAAGAAGACGAAGACGAAGAAGAAGAAGACCACTACGAATACTACGGAAAATAACAATAGGAGGAGGCAGAGGAGGAG